TATATATATATATATATATATATATATATACACACAATCAGAAATGATTCCTACTGCATCTGAAATAATCGAACAAATAAACTGATGTTCTTTGAATCATTTGTGTTATTTTATTATGCAAAATGTTATTATCAAAATGTTCCAACTTTTATAGAGTAACAAAACTGGAACGAGCTATTAGCTACAAGCAATTAATCAATGAGCAGCTTCAGTCAGCTGCTCATTGATTAATTGATTTTATTTAAAGAATTTAATTTTATTTTACTAGTTGATTTATTTAATTGATTTTATTTAAATAGGACTGTCCATATTAATGAATGTACATTGTTGTTGTCACTATGCAAAATTTAGCAAAATTAAAATTTCCATCCAGAGTCCCTTAAATTATTCAAGATACAAACATTCATACAATTTCATACATAAAAATAAGAGCTCACTAGGCTTGCTGCTAATTGTTTTCCCCCTTTGCAGTTTCATTTCCTTCACATAGCTGTTTTTTGATACCAGAAATATTTCTAACCAGCCAAGACTTCCTTGCAACCAAACACCAGCAGTGCACAGCAATAGGTGGGGTAGAGGCACTGCTCTGTTGCCTTCCTGATATTTCTTCAAAATAAGTTTAAAATGTAAGAACTGTACAATAGAAAATTCCATTGATTTGAAACTAAGTATGTAAACATTCTAGTACTAGGAAATTTTTAAGTTTTAGATATGTTTGAGTCAAAGTTTTAAGATTTAGAGTTTTTTTTTTTAATCTAGGACGTTTTCACTGCTTTTCAGTTTCTAAAGATACAGTTGACAAATGAATTTGTCTCGCTCTGCTCATGTTTAGTCTATGGAGTTTTTTTTTTTTTTTTTTACATTTTCAAATGTCACTGAGGTTTGAAGTTTACTAAGCAGATGTTTGAAATCCAAACAAAAATCAGCAGTCATACCCTCCGGATTGTTTATTTTGTGATAAAACGAGGAGTTATGGTTGTCACACATGATAAACGGGAAAAGAACCAAAACATTCCTGGAAACCTGCAGATTGTTTTAAACCATAAGAACCCCTGCATTCTGGTTTGCTCTAGAGCTGTTCACATTGGTAAGTGATGAAGAGTGGAGCTCCATGTTAACTCTTTGTCCTCCTCAGTGGGTGGGTGCTCCCTCCTGCCAGAGAGGCAGCTACGCCTTCTACAAGTCGGTGAGCAGCAGAGCTCAGCCTGACGGGCCGCTCCAGGTGTGGAAGCTCGGCGAGTTCTACTTCATCCAATGTGGGCCGGAGGATCCCGTCTGCATCGCCGAGGTGAGAATCCCTTGTAATCCGGACTCTGTTCTTTATTGAAGCTGCTTCACATATTCAGACCTTTGCCTTTGGAGAGGAGCGTGCATTGTTCATGACAGCTAATTGGTGATGGAAAAAGTTCTGAAACCTTGTCTTGTCCGACTCCCATCAGACCGAAGAACAAAGAAGCTACGTTGAACTCAAAACACCCCAGTTCAAACACTTTCTTTTCATCAGTCACCTAAAAAGTTACTTGAAGCAACTTATTGTTTGTAGCAACTCTCTAGAATACTGTGTGCAGTAAACTCAACATTACTCCCATCTACTCATACTTGTTTGTTTTTTTTTTGGTTTTTTTTTTTAAAGTGTTTCCAATCTATGGACATTTTGTCCTGTTCTACAGGAGTCAATATGCCACCATTATAGATACATTAATAATAGAGTGAAGGTGCCAGGAATAGAAGAGTAGTAGAACACAATGGAGAAGGTTCTTCGATGCAGAGGCTTTCTGTTGGGACAGAGTGCTAAGCATTTCACATTGATAGATTTGTTTATTTTTATATAATTTACTTAAATTCAAAGTCCAAATGATTGAAAGTTGTGAAACAAGATGGCGGCCTCTGACATCACTCTGAACTATGGAGGCCCAAAGAGGGGATTGGTGGGGAAAATAATTTTGATTTTCCAAAAATTAAATCTTCATAAATGAATGATCTATTGATGAGATTGATTTTTTGTCCATCATAAACTAATCTACAGCTCATATTTGTCTCTTAACTATAACCATAATAGTTTAAATCATCATACAACTCCTAAGAAAACGTTTGTAACTTTACTCTTTTTTTTTTGTTGTTAAAATAATAAGAGACTAACTTTAACTTTAAGCAGCATTTATTCACTGTATTATTAGTATTACTGTAGCTAATATTACATTTTACTGCTCAATGGATTGGGTCAATAAAACATACCAAATATAATTAATTTCATAAGCTTCTGGACAAAGTCTGAATGATAGAGAACTGATCAAATGTATTTGAAGAACTGGTCACCGCAGCAGACAGACAGCCTGTCGAACCTCAGAAAATAATTAGAATTGGCTTTGTGTGAGTGTGTGTTTTATTTTTTCTGGTTCATCAGCTGTCCCCTGATCAGTCTCATCAGTTTCTTCTGCATGGTTCTTGTGTTGCTGTGGTTTGTAACAAAACCATGCGGAGCATCAAAATCTTCGTTTATGCTCTCCTGTTTCAAATAGTTTTGATATTTTAGATCATTTCAGCCTTCAAAACCTACCACCCGATTTGTTTGACAATATCAAGATGCAACATTTTGGAGGAAAACTATCAGTACTTACTTCCTATTGAGATTATTTCTCTTTAAAAAACTGTCCTGAAGATTCTGTCCACAAAAAATCTAGATGGTGACAGATTGATATAAAGTATAATAATTGGCTTGATGAATCGCACAACATAATATTTCACCTTAGCTGTGTTTCTCCGTTATGTGAGTAAATGGGTTGTAAAATAATGTAGCAAAAATGTTTTGCGTTTTTTTATTTTATTTTATTTTTTTACATTAAAAAAATAACTCACTCACCTCTGTTTGCCTCTTTTGCTTGTTCACATCGATTTAGAGCTTGAGTTTTGGCCAGAGAAGCCATCTAAGTTTCCAGCTAGGTGCTCAGTCAGCCAGATGTTAGAAAGCAGAATTCATTACAGTGAAACTGAAAATAAAACTTCACCAGATTCTGAACACATCTTACATGTCTGAAGTGATTTAAATAGATGCTGCATAGCAGACGGTTTCTCAGATGGTTGAAAAACAGCTGTGGTCTGTTTTTGTTGTTGTACAGGTGACCTTGCTGTGGGAAGATCAGGCTCGGCGCCACCTGCTGGCCAGTGCCCGACTCTACTTCCTGCCTGAGGACACTCCAAAGGGCCGAACCAGGGAGCATGGAGAGGTAGCGTGTTTAAGGATTTGTTGTTTTAGGTGTTTAGAGATAATTGATATAATTTATTTAAAGTTTTCTCCTCAATCTCTTTGTCATCAACCTAATTCTGATTTTTATTGTCCGTTAATCAACCTGTTATTATTGGTTATCAAAATCAAATCAGATTCATAGTAAGTGAATCTGAAGAAGACCTCTTGTCCTATCCTGAGAGTTGAAAGCTGCATTTTAAAAGGATACAAAGTTTATTTTATGTCTGGGTTTATATTTATTGACTCAATTAAACTGAGTTTATTAAAGATTAAAATATAAAAATAATATCTAATGCTTTCCACTTGTTGTTGAAGAACTCAAACAAAAGAGATTTTAATGAAGTAAACATGATAGGTTAATAAAACAAAACAGGCAGTTTCTTTGAGGTTTGGCCTCAAGCTCAAAAAGAAACTTATTTTAATGCAAGGATTAATTTGCATAATTTTTTTTTTCATATTGCCGTTACATGCAGTTTTACAGGGAAAGTTTCTGTTAATCCCTTAACATCAAACAATGACAGGTAGAGTGTCAGTTTTGGGGAAAAAATTAGATATATTTACTAGAGATGTGCCGATCAGGTTTTTTCCTGCCGATACCGATACCGATCACCCATGAGGGCCGATCACCGATACTGATCACCGATACCGATCACCCATGAGGGCCG